ATTTTACATTTTGAGGAGAGGCTAGGCATCCTCTGATGTTCATCCCACTTCTGATCTTACATTTCAAGAGAACATGATATTACTTACAGAAAACTGGCCAAGATGTTCAATTTCTGCTTTACATTATTGGTCTTTCTGTCATGCCATTACATGCAGAAGCAAATATTTAAATTGCTTCTTCCATTTAAAATTGTATTAAATTCACTTGTCTTTTTATGAAACATTGAATTTTCCTTTGAAAAAGCATTTTTTTGTTTTAATAACATGACATTAATGTTTAAATGGTCTAATAATTAGCGACTGAATCTTTTACACTTCATCTGTTTATTTTGCTGGTATATATTTTTGAAAAAATAAAGTTTTTCACTTCCTTTTTTTGTGTCCTTGACTAGTATGATTTTTTGTACCCACTGTGAGATATTAGTATGACACCATCATCTACTTGTGACAATTCTACATGTTATGCTCTTCTATTCCATATGAAGTTTACTTTCAGATTTAAAAATGCTGCTTTGTGTCATCGTTTTTTATTCCTGCATGTGCTTTAAGCTCTAACAAGTGTCTATAAAGTTCTACTTGGATAACTCCATTTTGCTTGTTGAAGCCTTGATTCTTTTTAATGCTTGAAAAACTAGTTTTCTCATTCGTAAACTTTTCTTTTTGTCTTTCTCTGAAGTTCAACAATGGAAGCCTTCAACCTATCCTTGCTAAATTGTGAATGTTGTCTAAATTGAAAATTTTTGACATAATTTGTCTAAATTGAAAGTAATTTTCTTCTAGAAAAATATCTAACCTGGAGGGATTTTCAAACACGTGTTACCTTAATGAAAATAATATTCTACTTAGAGAACCTGACTGAGCACTAGAATGGAGAGTTCAAATGGATCGTGAAATCACTTCAATGCCCTTTGTTTGTCTTGGTCACATTGGAAACTCTGTGCCCTTCAAGGTTGGTTTGGGAATTAGAAGCAGACTGTGATATCACCATACTGCCCTTCTTCTCTTATAGCAATGAGCTAGTTCCTGATGTCAACTCCATATGGCTTAAATCAGTGTCTGTACTATCTGACTTCTGTGGCCATGTGCCTAAGGAATTACTTTGCTTAACCTTTTACACTCATTTGCTAAGATGCACCAATTTATATAGATATTTGAATAATCTAAAATTTGTTTTTTATATTATCTTGCTTTAAATGCTTGCTTTTGGTTTGGCATAACTGGTGTTAGATTATAGTAGTTTATGGTCAAGTATCACCTCCAGTAAATTTTTTTCCCTTTTAGTTGCATTATTTTTCTGTTTTCGTTGATTGTTTTTTGATATTTTGTTTTAACCCTTGTCTTCTCATTGTGTAGGGGACAATTGAATCTCAATCTTTTGCCTTCATCTAATATGCACATTTCATTCATTGGGGACAACGGCTGTGCCGAGAGTTTGGCTGTTTTGAGCAATGACTTTGATAGCTTTGATGCGATTCTTGAGGAAATATCAGCAGATACTTCTGGACGTTCCTTCTTGCTAAAGCTCCCAGGACCTCGAGTCTTGTACTATTGGTGTTCCGAGAAGTCAAAGGTCCATGGCCTCGAGTTGCTTGCTAAGGTGCCTTTTCTGTTCTTACCTAATTTTTGCAATAATTTGATCATGCTCTAGGATAAGCCTGTCATGAACAAGCATTAAGGTTGCTTGTATATGTATGATTGCTATTTCCAATGTTTTTTTTAAATCCACCACTCAGGTAGGGCCATGGTGCTTTATCAGTGGATCAAACCTTAAACATCCTTTGAGTATAGTGATGTTTTTACTCACTGGGTTACAGGCAGATAATCAAGTACATGCAGATGTAGGCCTTTGTTTTCAGAAAATTCTTAATATTCTATTGATTATCTTATGTATGCAACAGATGAAAGATCTACTACAAAGGAAGCCCTCCTTATCCCGTCTTACTGGAATCTCTGAGTCACGCCTTGATTCATTTGCAACTCATCTTGGGACATATCTTCTTGGGTGCGCAAACACTGCAGAAGCTAATTCAGCTGCTTCATCACATGGTTTACATGGTGGTTCAACTCCTGATGAAACTGAGTGTCAGTTTGCATCTGCAGTTTCCCAATCACGTTCACGCACTGTAGAAGTGCATTTAGGACAGGTGCATTCTGTCTGTCAAGGTGGTCTGAACCCAAGATTAAGTATTTTCAAGGATGAAACGCAAAGAACAGTAACATCTACAAGAAGTGGATCTAGGGAGGAATTAAAACAGCATGGAGATTTCCATCCAAGCACATTGACAAAAAGATCTGAACCAGTGGCGTCAGTTTCTGTTTCATGTACAGTCAGTGCTCCATGTACCAGTAAATGCGAGGATGACAATTCAAGGAACATCGAACCAAGTTTGATTCGTTCCTGTGGTTTGCCTGAAATACCATCCTTACCTTCTCTCCCTTCATTCAATCCCATGTCGATTCACCTTTCTCCATCACAGACAACCAGATCAAGTTCCTTGTTTTCTCCTTACTACTGCTGGTGTCCCCCTTGCCCATCTTCACTGCAGTATAAAGCAACCTCTTCACATCTGTCATCCATCTCCGAACACATTCCTCTGCCACCTCTATCTTCATTGCTGCCTGCTGCTGCACCCACAGTTGCATCTGTGCCAGCTAAGCTGCCTATTGATGTTTCTGAGCTTGGAGCCATGACACTTCCAACTCTTCTCCCTGATGCATTAGTTCCTGCATCATTTTCTGTGTCATCACTTACCTTGCCATGCTCGCAACAAATTCCAATGTTTACGCCTTTTATATCAGATCCCATCGTCCACATTCCAGTAATTGATTTTTGTTCTTCTGGTCCGGGTTATCTCGTCAGTGCCGGACCTGCTATATCTTCGGTCCTCTCACCTCTGCTTCCAGGCCTTGTAAGTCCTCTAATACCAAAGGTAGAGTCAGCAATAGAAAAGAATGCCAGAGAAACACTTAAGATGCTTATGGCGTCATCACCCACAGCATCAAGCCCACAGTTGAATGTTCTGCCTGCTGTTTTCAACAATTTGGATGAAAGTTTTTCTTGTGCCAAGGTGAGTTAATGCAATAATTCTTGTCCTCACTTGTGACCATTTTATTAGTTTGTGTCATTATTTTTGTTGTTGGTACTGAATTGTTAATATGTTTTGTCTCAGATGGTGAACAACCATTCTGCTGTAGTTGCTACCAGCAGTCAGCTACTCTGTGGTGGTACAGTGGATGTAGATAATGTCTCATCAGACTTATCTTGCATAGGTTTATGTTCCTTGGGAGAAGGGGTTGTTCATGAACTTTACCATACCATGAACTGCAACCCAGAGGAGGATAACTGCAGTGATGACTATGATGACCTGAAAGAGGGTTGACCTTTTGGAAGAATGGAGTAGATCACTTGGTAATCTGACTTGAAGGATATGTGAGCATGTGTAGTATTTACAAGGGCTAGATGTAGAGCATGCAGTGCACTGGATGTATTACTTGTGCAGCTATTTTCTTTTCTAGGCCGTGAGAAGTGGCTTATGTGAGCAAATTTTAACAAATGGGACGCATTACTTGTGCAGCTATTGTTGTTCTTGGAAACTATTTGTAGTTCAATTAAAAGTAGCTGGTAATTTTGTAAGATGCTGAGACTGGTAGTCTACTTCTCGACAGTGTTCTTTTGTTAAACTCCTCTATGGTGATATACACTGCTGGAAAAGCTCAGTAGGGCTTGCTTGCAGTCGAGTTAACCATGACACTATTTTGTTTTGTTCTTACACTTGGGTTCTGCCGGTAACGATTAATGATCTACTCTTAACTCTTTCCGCTTACCAAAATGTAGAGAAACATACAGAAGAACACACAGAAATAAATTGCTATATCACTACATATCATGTCAAAAAGATAAATGCGTTTTGTTGTTTTGTGTTGATAAGCTGTGTCGTCTTCTATATATGTAACGCTGAAATAGAAACATAAATATACGTCATTATTATTTAACCAATCTCCATCAACCGACTGTAGTTCCATTATTAGAACAGCGATGTTCCATTATTAGAACTGTTAGCATTAATATTCTTTAAGATTCCATCTTAAAACATTAATGTTATTTTAGATACTATTTATATTTTCAATTTAGGTTAGATATTAGTAACCACGATTAATAGCTGTTAACCAAAGTTGTCTTTTTTATGGATGTAAAGAAAAGGATAGGCTTTAGGTATTAAAATTTGTATGACATATCCCTTATTTCCTACCATAGTTTTTTTTTTAGTAATTTCCTACCTAAGTCTAGAACCAGTGGGTCATCGATTGAATTGATGAATCAAGTAATTTGAGTGATAGGTGTAATATTTGAACATGGGAGAGATCATATCGAGAAACCCATTTGACTAAAGCTCAAATGTAAATCTGCATCACCGACCTCATGCACTTTGGGCGAGACTAAAACTCCTAATGTAAATCGAGTTTGAATCAGGCTAAATAACCATCGTAAATTTATTATTAATATGATGTTAATAAATAATAACATAAACTTTATATTTTAAGCATAAAAATAAATAAAATTATTAAAATATAATATAAAAAAATTAAGATGATAGAAACTAGATCATTTTTAGAGAGCTAATTTCAAATTACCTCATATAATTGCTCGATATTTGTATCATCCTCTTTCTTCTCCTTCTTTACCTCATCTTTCTCTCCTTATCCATTATCATTGTCTATCGTTTTCATGTTTCCATCGATAAGATTTACAATATTAAGATAAATAAAATTAGATATTTTACTTTCATAACTATAAAAATTTTAATATAAATTTTTTAAATTTAAAGATGGAGATGCTAAAGAGAAAATAAGCCAATAGTATTATCAGATCCGATCGTTAGATGTTTTCGTGGACGAATGAAATCTGATTAAATAGGAAAAGAAAGTAATCAAACAATTAAATAAATAGATAGTCCCAAAGTGCACGGACGAGGCTCGATTACTTTTGTTTTTGCTCCCATCCGATTTCTTTTCTTTCTTTTATTTTAGCCCATAATCATAACTATACCCTTCTTTGATTCCCACACACGCCACCCCCCCCTTTTGGCTTCACGCTCTCATCATCTAAATCCTTTTGTCTCTTACGCTCGCCACGCTTCACTTCTTCATCATTGAGCATATGCTGTTCGATGAAATGATTGATCGTCTAACTTGCTAAGTAGAGAGTGAGAGGAGGCACCGCCGCAACCGCATTCCATGGCTCTCGAGATCGTAGCGCCGCCGCCATTCTACCTTTCGGTCTCCACCTGCGACCTCCACCCCGACCAGACCGTCACGGGCTTCTGCGCTTCCTGCCTTCGTGAGCGCCTCGCCAGCCTCGACGTTACCCCTGGCTGCCTCTCCACGTCTTCCGTCTCCGCCTTCAGGTCCGTCTTCCCCAGGGCCTCCGCCTCCAATCCCCCCTCCTTCCTCCGCCCCGAACTCCGCCGCTGCAAATCGTTTTCCTCCGCCCGTTGCGCCTCCGGCTTCGAGACCGAGCGGAAGTCCTGCGACGCCCGCGGCCGCTACACCCTCTGGTCCCTCTTCTGCGAGGACGAATTGGATCGCGGCCATCAGCCCTTGGCTCCCTCGGCATCTGCATCGGTGGAGGGCGGAGGGACCGAGGCCCAGTTCCGGAACCTCTGGTTCGCCCCTTCTTCTTCTGGTGCGGCCCCTCCGCTCAAAACCTTCGGTGAGGAGGACGACGCGGATGAGATCAGGGCGGCGGATCCCATGATCCATGTGGGATCGTCATTGGAGATGGACCGGGGGGAGCGGCTTGAGGAGACAGAGGTGAAGCCGATGAAGGACCACATAGACCACGAGTTTCAAGCGAAGAAGCCTCCTCACAAAGACCCCAAGAATATCGCCGACAGCTTCTGGCTCGCCGCCTCCGGATTGAGCAAGAAGCTTCAGAAGTGGCGGAGGAAGCACAAGGACAAGAAGCAAGGCGGCATAACTGCCGCGGTAGCTACGCCGGCTGAGAAGCCGCCCAAATCCTCCCATCGGCTACGCGACACGCAATCGGAGGCGGCCGTGGACGCGTTTAGCCGGAGATCCTGTGACACCGACCCGAGGTTCTCCCTAGACACTGGTCGGATGTCCTTAGACGACCCGAGATTCTCGTTGGACGAGTCGAGGGCCTCGTGGGACGGCTACTTGACCGGAGGCCGATCAGGGTTCGCTCGGCTGCCTCCCATGTTTGCCGTCGTTGAAGACGCCACCGCCGCTGCGATCCTCCGACCGGATAGCCTGATCCCCGTGGAGGAGGATTCTGTCGCCCCTGGCGGGTCTGCACAAACTCGGGACTACTATTTGGACTCCTCATCCAGCCGTCGCCGGCGAAGCCTTGACCGGTCCAATTCCAACTCCAACCGAGAGCAGCCTTTTGAGGTGAAGCCTGTTTCCATTGCGAGAGTCTCCCCTGCTGGTAGCGCCGAGTTTTACCATTTCCACCATGCCAATGTACTTGAAGACCGGGAATTAAGAGATTTGAGCTCAAAGTCTCTCAGGAATGAGTGTTTTGGGAGATTAGATGCACCTTCTGGAGACCTTCATGAGGGTTCTGCCACAAAGAAGCCCAGGAAATGGAGCAAAGCATGGAACATTTGGGGGCTTATACAGCGAAGAAGAAGCAGCACCAGAGGTAGGGCAGACATGGCGGAGAGATCCTTATCTGAGTCCTGGCCGACACTAAGGTCTCATCCGGGTTATAATGGCAGAATTTTACAGAGCAACAGCAGTGTAGGCTTCAGGAGATCTTTTAGTGGTAGTTTTGGCTATGGGGGGGTGAGTCGGAGCAGTCTGGAGAGTAACAGGCACAGGAGGGAGGAGCTTGTGCTGGAGAGGAATCGAAGTGCTAGGTACTCTCCGAACTGTGTTGACAATGGTATGCTGCGGTTTTACTTGACACCAGTGCGGAACAGCCGGAAGCATGGAGGGTCAGGGAAGGGTAGGGTTATTAATTCACACTATTTTATAAGGAACATGCTAGGATTGTATTGAGCTAGTAATTTTCTCCACAAGGTACTAGTTCTTCATTAACTTCTTTTTTTTTTATTTTGTTAGTGCATGTGATACTTGTCATCGATTGCCCAATTTTTTATGCTCTACAAAAAAAACAGTAGTTCCTGTCTCTCCTCTTCAGTTGCACAGCTGCAAACTGATATCAGACTGCAGAGGATAAGTAACACCAGAAATTTTAATAAACATGGTCATTTTTTTCTTATATTAATCTTAGTATTTATACAGTTGGGAGTTTTAACTGCTAAACAGCTGCCTTTTGACAAATCTATCATCTTCTTACTGGAACTGATAAACTTCGCAGAGGAGCTAGTGATAAATTTCTGATGATTAGAGCAGTTATTAGAAAATATATTGCGCTTTAAATTCTCATAGAGGAGGTAGGCTGTTGTAATACCTTTTCGGTCACCATTATTTCATTGCATTTGGTAGAAGGTGCTATTCATTACAAACTAGCCACACTTGCAAACATTGCAATAATGGTCATCATGGTTGTCACAACAGCTATTATGTTGACTTTGGAGGGTCTATTATTTTATATACATGCAATAACATCAATTTAAAAAAGAACATCCAAAACAACCCATTTTGACATTGTATCAAGAAAATGCTGTTATCTTCCTTATGAAGACCATTATATATTAGGAATAACAGTTGTATAATTTTTTTTCACTATATATCATATACAAATTACAGCCCTTAATTATGACATGCAAAGTGTTTTAACATTAATGTTGTCCATAGCAATCACTATTTTCTATCTTTCCCAACATTCCTATTTGTTATATGAAGCCAGATCTTCCTTTTCCTTCAATATAATAGTTAGCTATTCTGATGAATGCACGTATCGTTCAAAACAATCATCAAAGTGGGTTGGGAAACTTCAATTCTCTGTAGTAACCATTTGTCATTTAGTAACTTATAATGTCATTTGATCAACTGTTGTACTCGCAATATCAAGTCTTTAAAACCTAGCTTCCTAACTTAAAATTTCCTTGCAACATCAGTCGACAGTCACCTTCTTCTGTTTCCTTTATATCTTTTTGGTATGAGCTTATGTTATATCCTAAAAGGTCTAGGTGCCATCCAGTTATATGTCACTACAATTGCTGGCTTTGAGAGCTCAGCAAATCAAGAGTGCATTGTAGACTGCGACTATGATAAGCTGACAACTTTTGATCCTTCATGTTCTACAGGGACTCCACTTTCTTAGTTCAGATCATAAAACTTGATCTGTCAGGGGCCCTTCCATCGGAAAAGAAAATGAGCAATAGCAGGACAAGTTTCAGGAACAATAGAAATTTGTGACATATAGAGATTGGTTTGTAGTACTGTACCAAATTATGCTAATTTTGGATTTATTACATTAGGTCAAACGGATATACTTCTTCAATTAAATGATGTACCAATGGGTAACCTATTCGAGCAAAATGTTCAAATAACTTTTTCTTTTCATTCATGACATTAGTTTTCTGATTGACGGTTAAAAATAAATGAACTCTGCTATTCTCTCTCAAGCTTAAGGCAAAAGTTTAATTTATTGTCTTGCACTTAATCAGAGAATAACTTCGTATACACACTTGAAAGCAAACTTGATTATTGTACACCCCATTTTCTTGTCCAGCTATTCATTTCAAGCTAAAAATTTTAGGTATTGATGTTTTTTTTCCTGCAAATTAACTTACTAATTTATGCTTTCAGGTGAGATCACAAAACTTCAGTCCAGTTATGCTTAGGTCTTCAGGTTGTGTTATCTACCATGACTAAACACAAAGATTATATGAGAAACCTACATATATCATGGTTGTCTGCATCTTCTATTCAGCAATTTGTGTTCCAGTCATGGTTACTCATCCAAATGTTGGACTGGATATATAAAGTCAGAATGTGAAATGGTTTGGATGCCTGATACTGCTGATTTTAGTAGAATGGATTACCTTTGAAGATTCTCGAGGTCTCAGAATAATGGAGCATCAATCCTCTATGTTGGCATTTATGTCACAGGACATATCTTTACCAGTACATCCGAAGCAAATAACCTTCTGTTGTCAGATGTCAGAAATCTGCCTAATTTTTCATCTTAAAGGTCAGACTCATTTTTATCATTGCCGAAAGTATTGAGTTAACATCTTTTGATCATGTCTACATATTTTTGTCACCGCAGATGATGTCATCTAGAAGAGAATCTGTTGTTGGCATTGAGAGGAACAATCTTGTTCTTCCATTGTTTGCTTGCCATCTCTGCAAAATTGTAAAGACTTCCATCCGAATTGTCTGATCTAGCTTGTGCTTAAGAAATGCATGTCATCTTGGCAACCGATATTGACAAGAAACTGCTTTGGAACATGCTAAAAGGCAATGGTCAAAGATCAACCATGATTCACGGTAATGCACTCATTGTCTATCGTGTGTACTTGAATATTCAGATTGGACGCAGGAGTTGAGGATTTTCTCCTTGCATCCGGCTGAAAATGTTTCCATTTTAATTTGTACTGGGGTTGAGTCCCATCAAGAAAAACCAGATCTGAGAGGTTGGAGTTAAAGATGCAATCTGAGATGTCACTGCTTACTTTCTTTGTCTAAATCTGTTATGAAATGTTGCACCAAAACATGAAAGCTGTTGGGCTTTGTTCTGGATGTAAAATCTAATTGTTGTGTCAACTACATGGTGTTAGATAGGAATTGGACTTGTATGTGTTGTGGAAAGTAATCTTGTTTTCTTGGGTTGAATAAACAGGACATGATCAATAAACTTTGCTCTTAATTCACTCTTTGCATTTATAATTTGATGTAATTAGTCACAGTTCCATATTGCCACTTAAAAATCTTCTTTCAAGTCCATAAGCTGTCAAGTGGTCTGGATTGGTTCAAGTTAGGAAAAATATCAGAAAAAAGATGAGGAATAATACTATAAACAATTAATTGCCATAATACTTGCATTTTTTCTTTTCTCTTTCATAGCTCAAAAGAAAATGTTCCAAACAAGTAGAAGATGACATGAAAAAGAATAGAATTGATATGAAGTCTGTCATCTCTTGTTCTTTTCAACTCATGAATCCGACTTGTGACTCGATTTGTGTAGATTGATGGTGAAGGCAGTGCTGTTGATGAGAGAGAGTTAGGCAGCAGCTCCAACAGGCGCACCTGCCTTGTTGAGCCTCGAAGAGCCATAAAGAGTCTCTTCGAATCGGATGATCTCGTTCTTGGACCCATAAGCCACTTGAGTTCGGTCGTCCAGGTTCTCGATCACCTTGTCCAGCACCGACCGGGTGCCGTCGCTGCTGTACCCTCCTGCTTTCTCGATGAGGAACCCGAGAGGCGCCACCTCGAACAGCAGCCTCAGCTTGGCCTTGGAACTCGGAGACGTCACGTTGGTGAAGATGCCCTTCTCCTTCACGATGATCTACACATGCACACAAGGTGCTTGATCATATGCCTCGGTAATATCTTGAGCCCTTCTTGTGGTTTCGGTGTGCATCACATTACCTGGTTGACATCAGGCACCATTCCTCCGGTGTACCGCAGCGTGTACTTCTCCCTCACGTAGTAGTTGATCAACTGCAGGCACACATACTTCGAGTTCAACACTGTTCTTACACGATCTCAGAGAAGCAAAAGCGATGATGACCTTATCATAGTCAGGGTTGTCGAAGGTAGCTCTAAGGTTGCCCGGAGAGAAGATCTTGCCTTCACCGATCGATGTCGTGTCCTTCACGTGCTGCCACTTCCCTGAAGCCGTGGTGCAAAGTGAGATGCAATCTGTTGGGCATTAAAACCAGGGAGATTGAGGCGAAGGAGAACCAACCTTCATCGAGGAGAAGGAATTCATGGGTTCCAGGGCAGTCTTTGAGAGCAATGATGTAGGTGGTGCGAGGTCCGTAGATGCCCATGGCGGCGGCGACTTGGTCTCTGCCGGTCACGCCGGTGAGCTTGTCGCCGGGCCATACGCCGAAGATGGTGCCCACTGTGAAGTTGGTGTCGACGATGCTGGAGCCGTCGAGGGGATCGAAGGCCACACTGAACCCACCTGAGTTCCACAAGTAGCAGACAGGTTTGATTAGATTGTGTCCTTTGTTTTATTTTTGCGCCTCACAATGTTTGTTTGTTTTTTTTTTTGGGAGTCATTTGATCTTTTTAGCATTTGGATTCCTAAACTTAAAAAATTAATATTAAAATTTTTAGAATTATGAAAGTAAAATATTTAACTTCATTTATTCTGACGTCGTTGGTTTTATTGACGAAAGATACAGTACATGACAGCATGAGCATGAATGACACAAAAACAATATACAAAAAAGATAATTTCAATTATGGTAGTGGACGAGAACGATGCGATGGTCGACCTTGTCGATATCGATCTGAACATCAACGATGAAGAGGAAGAGGAGGCAGAGTAGTGAGGCATTTGTATTAGTGCTTGAGAAGGAAGAGGAGGGAGGTGAGGCATTTGCGTTGATGTCGCGTTGCTCTACATCTGCTTTGGCGCTAGAGGAGAAAGAGAATGCAGATGAGGCATCTGCGTCACTAACAACGAGGAGGAGGGAGGAGGAAGAGGAGGCAGGTGAGCTAGAGCAATACTACGGCGAAGGAGATAGAGGAGGTAGGTGAGGTATATGTGTCGGTGTCGCACTCTATCTTCTCTTCGTTCTCAAGCACCCGCATTGATTGGAGCCTTTGGGTGTGTTGCTCTTTTGTTTCATATTATGAATGCACTAAGACACATGAATCATGCTGTTTGAGTTCAGCATCTTCACATTTTGCTATAGCGTGTGGGAAGATAAATCAAAGAACAGAAGAGAATCATCAGTCATATTTACCTTCCACTGGTCCTCCCATATCTTGCAACTCGGGGACTTCTTCGGAGCACGCGTACTTGCAAACATGCGAGTATTGCAGAGCCTGAAGTGAGAGGCACACGAGATCAACAAATCATATTGATCCTTGTGTTGATGATTATAATGGAGGATAAAGCATGACAGTGTCTCTTCTTGAATCGACTGCCTTGACTTACCTCGAAGAGAAGGTTGTTGGCGAGCAGATCCACGGCTAGCTGCTCGTCGCCGAAGGAGTTGACGCAGGCAGTCCCACCACATGATGCAGTCCTCACCTTGAAGGAGATGGTCCTCAGAGCCTCCCCCATGGCCATCAGCAACCTTATCAGGTTCTTATCCGGTGTTGCCTTGGTCAAGAACTCCTCCTACGATTCCGATACATGAGTTTAGTGCCTTCGGTTTTGGAGCAAGTAACGATCTATCTTTCTCATTCCGTAGAGGTTACCAAGCTATCCCCTATCTCACACTTGGTGGCGAGGGACGAACTGCCCACTGCCCTGCAAGCTCTCGACTTGGGCGGCGTCAGCCTGAGGGAGTCGCCGAAGATGGAGCTCGACTTGAGGCCCTGCGAGAAGAAGGCAGAAGCAGAGGTGAAGTACTACTACTCAAGGAGATCGTGGAGTGCAGTCAAAGAGCAGGCGGGCGAGCGTTCGTACGCTGTGCCTGTGAGACCGCGGGAGGGAGGGAGCAGAGGATGGCACGGCCAAGCGCGACTGATACAGCACGCTGTGGGCGATGACGCCGCGTGCGCAGGTCGCTGCTCCCGTCTCCATTTCGTCGAGCTCGTACGTAGGGGAAGCCGCTCACCACGAAGGGTGGATTAGGCTCAAGCGGGCATCGGATGATTGAAGAGGAGAGGGAGTGGCGGGGAGGAGATAAGTAGTCTGTGGTGCGGCAAATGCTCATCATTCGTTGTGGCGTGTGGTGGCGGTGGAGCGCCCGGTGCTTTAAGATTCCAAATCTCTGGTGCGTCAAAGTCAGCAGCCACATCGGATCTTATCTGCCTCGAAGTTTTTATTGTTGGATACTGACGTCTACGTGGCATAGTTAACGAGACACTTTTGATTCGATTCACTAGTTAAATTATCTAATTATTAAAAGATTAAATTGCTCTTAATATGTTTGGATAATTTTTTTAAAAAAAAATTAAAATTTTATTTTCTCAAAATACATTTCCTTTTTTTTTATCTTATTCCCACATAATGTCTTTATTTCTCAAAAAATAAAATTACTTTGGTATTCACCTCGTCGTTGTTGCTTCTGCTCTTCGTTTGTCGCCTTGACTCTCGCCCTTATTTGTTATCGTCGTCACATCCTCATCCATCGCCTCCATTGCCACCCTCGTCCACCGCCTTCATTATCACACTCATCCTCGGTCCTCTCTTTTGTCTCTTCATGCTCATCCTCAATCCTCTCCTCCGTGGCTGCTTTGGCCACGTCATCACCCTTGTTACTTACCCTATCAACAGCCACTTGTCAATTGCAACGCAATTTACTAGTGTGATATTTAACATTTCAAATCATAGGGAACAAAGTAATTTAATCATATGACACTTGCAACTTGCTGCAAAATAGATTTGCAGACACCCAACTAAGTACTTCTTAAATATACATGTCAATTTCCTAGTTATCACGCAAAGAGTCCTGACCAGATGAAAAAAGGTTGAGTTGTGACTATAACAATTGTCAGAGTACTGTCATAAAATGGATTTCAAACATCAATTTCACATATTTCTATTTAACTTTACCCAAATATGACAGAAATTTTTTTTTTCTCGATAGCAATACATCACTGTGTATACTTCTCGGCATTCAACAGTGCACAGAATGTGCAAAAACATGTTCTTCATTTCTTACCTCTCAAAGCTGGGTAGCTTTCTTCACCTTGGCATGATTCAACTCCACCAAAATAATCTAAAACTTCTCCTTCGGTTCAAAGAAAAGGTGAACTGAAGGACAAGTTGGAAAAGATTTCGTGAAGGAAATGAAGCCACAGCTACCATAAAGCTATTCATGTAATCTTTATCTATTCTGTAAGTGGAGCAGTTGGTTGCTTTGGGGACAGCAGCACTTGCTTAGCAGAACCAATCAATAGATTTGTCTTGGAATCAGCTACCGCAACAGATATTCCTACAGCTTCCAGCATTCATTGGCAATCTCTCATGGTTGACTTTGAAATATCATGATCCATTTGTTTAAAAGGAAGAGCAACAAATCTGCCCACACATGTCAACTCCGATTTTGCAATGAAGAAGATGATAATCCTTGAAAGAAGCAAGGGCAAAGACTATGACCTGTTCAAACACGAATAATAATTTTATCATCTGATATGGTCTCCAGAAAACTCAGCAAGTAGAAGTTTGCAGAGTGGGTATACCAGATTCCTCAAATTGATGAAGGCAACCAAGTTGAACAATTCATCTTGTAGGTTGGAGGACCAGTAAATGGCTTGATCAGAACCAATCCTATTATGTTCTTCAAATGAACGAAAAGATGAGAACCATCCAGCTGTGCTGCATTGCTGTTGGCACGAACAATTCACCCATGTTTGACCCAGCAGCTTGATGCTGGACAATGTCTGAAGCATGATATTCAAAAATATTCATTTCATTGACTTGCTCTGCCTGCATCTCCTGGCAGACTACCTTCCCTGGATATATACCACCGCAACCTTGAAAAAGTCTTCAAACAGCATTAGCAATCGGAAGGGAAATCAGGAAAAGGAGTGTAGCAACAGAACTTAATCTCCAGCTTCCCGTATGCAGAAATCAGATCATTATACCAGCGGCTTTGGCGATGAGAAAGAGGACTCTGACATCAGTCACAGGCTCCCACGAGATCCTGATATCTCACAGGCTTCATCATATGGCAGTGCTCGCTCCATTTCTCTCAGTCATTCTCTCAGTCAGACAACGCTCCGGAGTTCAAACTCGTTCAGAGTTAAAGCTCAGGAATTTGCTGCAGGATTTGTCACTTGCTTCATCCCTCATCGCCATGCAACTTGTGAAGGAGCAGAACATGAAGATGGCTCGAGGGATGTCTCCGATTTTTCCACTACTTCGAGTATGCCCTGATTCATCCCTAACTGATAGACTCTTTAACTTTCTTTATTTGAATGCCGAAATTTTTGTTCCTATGCAATTTTATCAAACAAGAAGACAAAATTTCCAAACAAATTGGAGGCTGAAGATTGAAAGTTGCAATATGTGAATTTACCAGTTTGTTACTTTTAGTTTACATGGAGAAATAAAAGGGATGAATTTCCCACTTATGGTCATACAAATTGATTCTCTTTGCAGATTTGTAGCTGCCAAACAAATACTGAAAAGTAAAATTATAAAACAAACAAAGGATGACACTAATAAATGAAAATATATAGGTTAAAGAAAAGCAAAGTATTCATAAGATTACTGAGCCATCTCTTAGCTTCTATTAATTTTTCAAAAATTCGATCCTGAAGTTTACGAACAATTTACCATCAAATAATTCGTAATACCCATCTGATATCTCCGGGAAACTGTTAAAACTGAAGCAACATCTATATATGCATACTACAAGAACCACTTTTGCATGAATAAATTCTGTGTGCCTGCCAGCATACTGTACCCCTCCATCTTAAATCTTCTCAGTATCATAAATTTTTTGATCTTATTCATTTTCTTTATTACATCCCCTTAGATTACTTTTTCTTTTTGTCAAGCAAGCAAAATCCATCTAAGGACATTATAAAAACGCTCGAGCCTAGATCACTCACATCTTATCCTAAATTCTGTATGTTCTGTCAGAAATCTAGAGGATACTGTCTCAATGAAATACTGATACAGAGAAGTGAAACTAATATATCATCCTTCAAAACTTAAGCTCCTTATTTGGTTTCATGGTATTTCCTTTGATGAAGCATTAGAGCTAAAATATTTATCTAAATCTGATGCGATGCAGGTTCAAAGATGTCAACTATAAGTAGCGGGAGCAATTATAGATTCAGAACCCATGGTTCTTACAGCAAAAAGGAAACACAGCAAGAAACAATAAGGTTCTCCATAGAAGAGATCAACAAAGCCACTTCAAATTTTGCATCAGAAAATAGAATTGGGCAAGGAGGCTTTGGGGCAATATACAAGGGGAAACTCAAGGATGGAACTCTAATTGCAGTAAAACGAGCCAGAAAGGTGAGTAGCCATTTACTTACTCTATTGGCTAAGATACACATTAGTAACAGCAATGACTCGGTTCACTCTTCTCTGTTGTTGCTTTCCTTACCCTCAAGGAATAGTTATGCTTAATACAGGATGTGTACGGAAGTTCTTTATACTTCTAAATGACTAATACTGACTGATTAATATGGCAGAATATGTATGATGTGCACTTAAGCGTAGAATTCAAGAGTGAAATCGAAACTCTGTCGAAGGTAGAGCATTTGAACTTAGTGCGATTTCTTGGATGTCTGGAGACTGATAATGAACGTCTAATTCTGGTTGAGTATGTTAGCAATGGCAATCTACGGGAACACTTGGATGGTAGGTAATTTATTTTCATACACCTTAAAACAAAATTGATTCAGTAATCCTATTGAGATCATAAAAGTACTGGATAAAGATTCTTACAGTCTCTGACACTTGAGACCAATTTTATGAATGGAAATTTGAAAGAAAACTAATGCAATGCAGGAACACGTGGAAATGGTCTAGAGATCGGACAACGGCTCAACATTGCCATTGATGTAGCTCATGCTGTTGCCTATCTGCACACATATGCAGGTTATTCCTTGAGCTTCAGTTTTGATATCATAGATTCAAAATTCAAAGCCTCCAAAATATATGCCTCTAATTTTTAAAGGAAACAAAAAATCAACCATTCAGGGAAGGAAGATTTGGAGTAGAACATGTTAAATAACTTCTGCACACAATTGAAAGAGAACACTGCATCAAATTTAACTTCAATATCAGTGATATCAACCTCCATCTTGTAATCTTATCATCACTTCCACTAGGACATCAACCTTGCATAGGAGTAATATTGGGAACTATTACCTTGGCATGTATACTTATATGCAATTGCTGCTTATCCTGTAACTAACTATAAAGATGATTGATCGGAAACAGAGTTAAATACCGATTCAAAGAAATAAACCCTAAAAAACTGTAAAAAAATTGCTAAACCAATAATAGGGCATACAGTGATATGTTATCAGCACAGAGTCTCTAATCAAACTATATCATAGATATTGTTCCCAAATGTTCATTATGAACATGATATAAAAATATGTCCACAAGCACATTCATGATGCATGTAAGACATCTGATTAATCATCTTCTAGATACAAGTAATTTACATTCCTAAGATAATTATTGAGAAGATATTAGAAATCCAGTTTTGTTTTCATACTAAACTTCATTGAAAGCATTCTAAAATTTCAACAATTAGCATATCCAAATTGCTCGTACCAAATACCTAATGAAACTGGGACTCACCTTCAAGTAGTACAATACCTTGATGCATTGTGATTAATGCAGATAAAGTTCACTCTCTTGATTTCTTTGGCCTGACAGATCACCCAATCATCCACAGAGACATCAAGGCCTCCAACATCCTGCTGACGGACAAGCTCCGGGCAAAGGTGGCGGATTTCGGGTTCGCGCGGCTGGCGGCGGAGGATCCGGAGGCGACGCACGTCTCCACCCAGATCAAGGGCACGGCGGGGTACCTCGACCCGGAGTACCTCCGGACCTACCAGCTCACGGAGAAGAGCGACGTGTACTCCTTCGGCGTCCTCCTCGTGGAGATCGTCACAGGAAGGCGCCCCATCGAGCGAAACCGCGACAACAGGGAACGCGTCACCACGCGATGGGTACGTACACGCCCGTGCGGCACAGCACATCCACTTCTTCCCTTCTTCTCTTTCTGTGTCGCGTGCGGCGCGATGACGTTGGATCAGAGCAGGCGATAAGGAGGTTCAAGGAAGGTGACGCGGTGATGGCGATGGACCCGCGGTTGCGGCGGAGCCCAGCGGCGGTGGGCGCGACGCAGAGGGTGCTGGGGCTGGCGGAGCGGTGCATGGAGAAGGATAGGAGGTCGCGGCCGTCGATGAGGGAGTGCGCGGAGGTGCTGTGGGGGATCAGGAGGGACTCCCAGAGCATGCTGCAGTCGTCGTCGACGACACGGTGATAGATGTCGACGGCGACCAGGAGTTCGATACTATCGCAATTACAGGAGCAACACGATGCCATCTGTCGTATGGTAAGTACGCAGAGTGTATTTGATGGTACAGTGTGCACTACTGCATTGTGTATGTGTATGTGTGTGTATGAAGCCAAATTGGGATTGAAAGGAAAGCAAGAAAAGAAACAGTCATGTCCATGTTATCGATTCAATTCAGTTATGGGAGATTATTTTTGTTGGTGGGTAATTGGAAAAGGATTTATGAATGTGTCTATGTAATGAAGTTGGGAGTGTAAATAGCAAGATTTGATTTAGTAGCAATACATTTCTTAGGGAATAATTATGTTTAGGTCTACATTGTGAATCTAAGAAATTAGTCACAGTTATTCTCATATTTCCATAGGATTTATATTTTTTAAGATTGTTTATAGGAACAAGAGCAAGAAGTATATTATCACCATATATATGGTGAAAAAGTTCGTAGATTGCATTATAATATTAAGCTAGTTCTCTTAGGTCTCACAATGCATATGAGACCCAGACCAAGTTAAAACACATGATGCATATGAAGCTCGACCTAATGGTGATTATTGGTGGATAGGGTATAAAAAAAAAAAGAGCTAATTATATCATACTCTATATAAAAAAAAATTATATCAAAGTTCTTATGAAAGTGAAATATTTAGTTTCATTTATTTTAACGTTGTTGATTTTATTAGCGAAATCGTGAAAACAAAAGGTAAAAAATTAATTTTAATGTTCCAATTTGTGGCGACGGATGGCATTAATAGTGGCGGACGACGACACCACTGGGGTCGTGAGTGGCTGTTGTGGATGAAAAGGGAGAGCTATAACAAGATGTGAGGGCACCAACGTAATTGCCCTCACATCTGCATCGGCACCAACGTAATTGCCAAGCAACACGTCAACGTAGTTGCTGAGCGGCCCTTTCGTCGCTCTACATCTGTGTTGTTTCGTCGCTCTACATCTGCGTTGGCGTTAATACAATTATCGAGCGACAAAAGGGCTACTTGATCAATACATATGTCGAGCGACCTTTTTGCCATCACTCGATAACTAGATCGATGCCGACGTCGATGTAGAGCGGTAAAAGGGCTACGCGGCAACTATGTCAATGTGCCACTCAACAATTATGTCAACGCTAACACATATGCAGAGCGACAAAAAGATCATTCGATAATTGCTTCGACGTAGACGCAGATGTAAAGCGGCGGCAACCCTCAATGATGCCATCGTTTGTCACGATCGATGCCCTCCATCATTACTAATTGAAATATTAAAATTACCTTTTTACCTATTATTTTTATGCTTTTGTTGATAAAACCGATGACATCATGGTAAACGAAGTTATATGTTCACCTTCATAACTATAGAAATTCCAATATAATTTCTTTTTAAATATAAGAATAAGGGAAAAGGTCTAACCATTAAAATTTATAATTAGCTTTGGAAGTTACATAGTTATTTTCTACAGTTTCACATAATGTCCTAATACTTTTTTATTTCTTAATACTATATATGTTATGATATTAATTGTCATGATCAAATATGATAAGATAATTAATCCGTTGACTTCAATAGCTTAAAATATTTAAATCTAAATTAATAATAACACATCTATTAGACCTTTAAAAGTCGATATTAATATTTATTTACTTACGAGCCAATTTATCCTCTTATGACGTAACGTGAGACTCAATCAAACTATGTGACCAAATTTTTGGTTATTAATCCAACAAGCAAGTCCATCTTCACCGTCACTCTTAATTATCTCCTCCAAGTCCATCATATGACTCGAGCAAGAGAATAAGAATACGTGATTTAGCACCATCCCCATTTGTGTATGACCAAATCAAACCATGCATGACTTCAGCTCTAAGTTAAAGAAATGAGAAGGAATGTCCGTGAATATGTTTTCAAATCGTCATTCAAGAAATATTTTATACCAAGATAAATATATCAGTCACTATTTTCACTCGTACCAAAATTTGAGCTGACCATTTATTTACTTGAGCTTGAAAATGAGCCCAAATACAGTTTAAATCAATTTCTCTATTGGTGTCATTTAATAATAAAATTGGTACAATATACTTGGATGATTTTCCTAAAAAATACTCATATTTTAGATCAATATCTCTTATTTTATTTTTTAAATAGCATCTCTAATTAATCAAATACTTAAATTCCCTTTCAAAATTACCTCTTATTGTGTTTTGGCATGGTATATTATTTTTAGCTTGTAATATTTAGAATACCGTAATAAAAATACTATAAGACCTACTCGAAACATTATAAATGATTTAAATAGATTCTCAATCTAAACCTAACTAATTACAAACCTAAACATATGGTATAATGACAATCAAGAAGACATAATATGATATTACTTATAATATTTGTAATATTTATAGTATTTTTAACACCACAATGAAACATTGAAAATGCTATTAAAAATATTATAGAATAGTGAATATTATATATAAAAAATTAAAAAAATTAGTAAAAAATGAGGAAAAGTTTTTTGAGGAGTATTTTTAAATTAAAGTTACTATTTAATAAAATAAAAAAAGATGCTTCTAAAAAAAATCAAAATATAAATATTTTATAGGAAAATCGCCCAATATACTTTTTAAATAAGTTCCACTGTTGAACAACTTCATTCAGATCAATTGGACCCGATCGTGATCGAGATTGGGGTTCGAGTCAAGCTCGCTCCTCGTGATTGGCTTTAACCTGATCTGGGCGTCGCGTCCACGGCCAGGTGAATCCCTAACATGCTTCACCCACTGTGGATCACGAAATCGGAAACCAATCGGGAATTAGGGTTCCATCGCAAGCAAGCCTCCTTAGCCGGCGTCTATAAAATCTTAGGGTTCTCCCCCTTCCGGCTCATTCCACCGCCGCCCAATCAGCATCCTCTTCTTGTTTCCTTTCTGTCCCCTGATGTCGATCTTTTAACCGCTGTGGGTTGATCTTTTTGATCACTCTGCTGGTTCATAGTTGGTCTTTCGATCAGTGATGCGAACATAAATCTGCGTTATCTTTCTGTAACTCGCTCGTTTTGGGTGGTGAAGATGGCTATAGTGCACTGAGATCAGATCAACTTACTATGTCTTTGCGGGATTCTTCATGATGGATTTCCTTGTGGCTTTCCTCAGTTAGTTAAGCGTGTTTCCTTCATTTCATATTATTTCTTATTCTTGGTAAATATTGGATTCCTGATTTAGAATTTTTAGCTGTTCGCTTCCCCGACTCAATTTGTTCAATCTATTACGTTTGTGTTTGTTTATTTTTTATTTGGGTACCAAATAAATTTATCGTTTCTTTGATTGCTAGAGAGACGGCATCGTTGATGTAAAAAAACTCTTTTGTTATCCTTGCACTTTGATATCCCATGAAGAAAGTTTGGGGAATTTTTGTCTGAGATGCCATTCAACTCTCTCTAGAGCTCCTTAATTTGATGTTTTCACTATTTCTTGGTGTTAAAAATAGTGTTGTTTTGTTTCTGTGAAGGATCATGATCCTTTTCAATTAAAATGGACTTATTTGAGGATCTAGTGTTTGTAATGGCAGTGGTGTTGATATGCCCCTCACTATGATTTGGTGAGTTTTTGTCAATGCTTGCAGGGAATTTAGTACCAGTTTTAAAAGAAAAGCAAAATGTTATTAGATTTTACTTTTTTCTATTTAAATAATTAAAAGAAAACTAGGAACTTGGATGATTTTGCTTGATTGAATTAGAGATAGCCTGTAGTTTTTGAGGCCCTTATTCAAGAGCTCCATGTTGTGATCTTCTTAGGTATTTGTTAGATTGCTTGATTGAATATTTGATCAGTGATGTGATTTGTACATAATCTGCGTTATCTTTCTGCAACTCCTTTCAAGGAATTGAAGATGACTGTGATACACTGAGATTAATATTGTTTTTGTTCTTTGTAAAACATTTAAGCACAAAGTTCTTTATGGCCTTATTTTGCTCACCAGAGTTGTTTTCTTTTCTTTTCCATTGCAATTTATCGATTATAAATGGCATCTCTTATTTCAGTGGATAGTCAATGACATCAGAGGGCTTCTGTTCATTTGTTGAGAACATTATTGTTCATTGGCTATGAGTTGAACTCTGGCAGTATGTGGATCTTAAATGTTTTTTTTTTCTTTCCATGGTTATTACTCTTATTTTTTGAACCATGCATTTTTTATGTCTCATTTAGGAATATTTTGGATTTTTTAATTATTTATTTTAGTTGTAGATATCATGTTACAATGGTTTTCTTTTTGGGCATTTTTCTAAAAAAATTTATATTTTGGGTTTTTTCAAAAGATAATCCTCTCTTTTATTTTTTTTATAATATTTTTAAATTTAAAAAATAGTTAAAATATTCCTCAAAAAGTTTATTTGTCAAACTTTTTTGCTTGTTTTTTTGCCAATGTTTAAATTATTGTAGTGTTTTTTAATAACATTTACAGTGTAGTGTTTAGATAATTCATAATGTTTATATGTAGGTTTTACAATATTTTTGTTGAGGTGGTTAAAACATTGTAATAGGTTAAAAATACTATAAGGGAAAACTTTTTAGGGCAGTTTGAATATTTTTAAAGTAAAAAATACTGTTTGGGAAAAAAAAAAGAGAGTAAAATGTGGAGTTTCGATTTAAAAAAGGAATATTTTTCAAGAAATTTATCGGTTCGAGTGTGCGGTTGTAATTTTGCCTTATTAGCTCTTGTAAAACAATAATAATAATAATAATGTCATTGCTCATGAAGGATTGCATTCCTGTTGTCAGCTGTTATGATTTGTTTGCTATACAATTGAAGGGTTACATTCCGCACTAGGGATTACTTCACTAAACAATTGAAAATTGCAGTTATCCTTGATGAGTTAACCATCAGTTCATCTTTCAAAGATGATTGATGTTGGTTTTCCTTTGTTGCATGTACATGAATGTAATGCATTGGTAAATGTAATGCAGAGTCAGACAGTTCGACTTTGTATTTTTTTTCTATATACTGTTAATTTGTAGTCAGCCTTTTTCGCCTCCTAAGAAATAAAATGCTTAGTAGTAATTGCTTGCAGTATTCTCTCAATACATGCAAGTGCTGTGGTCAGAATAAGTCATTAAACTTGTACACTCCAAAATGTCCATCGTCTCCCAAGTAATCTAAAAACTAGAATTTTGTTGTTATAATGGTACTCAATATATTGTCGAATAGTCTCTTTTTTTAATTTCGACCTTCCTTCCTTAATTAATCTCGACTGGTAACACAAATATCACAGATTTTTAATTGATCTGGTGCATGGACACAAGTGGAGTCAAAATC